CATCTTCAGATGCTAGAACGGGGAGCACCGCGCGCTAACGGATGTATACTACATCTCGCAGCTGCGCTCCAGCATCATCAGCATTGGCCAGCTGGATGAGCGTGGTAGCGAGGTTCTGATCAAGGACGGCGTTCTAAGGATCAGAGACCAGGAGCAGCGACTTCTTGCCAAGGTGAAGAGGTCCCTGAACCGGTTGTACCTGCTCAACCTGAAGGTAGAGTAGCCGGTTTGCCTGGCGGCAAGGCACTCCGAGGAACCGTGGATGTGGCATGCCCGGTTCGGACATCTCAGCTTTGACGCGCTTGGTCGGCTAGGGAAGATGGTCCGAGGGCTACCCCACATCAAACACGGAGGCGAGCTGTGTGACAGCTGCCTAGCCAAGAAGCAGAGGAGGCTACCTTTCCCAAAGGCGGCCAAGTATCGCGCAAAGGAAGCTCTCGAGCTAGTTCACGGCGACCTCTGCGGGCCGATCATGCCTGCAACATGCGGTGGTCGGTGGTACTTCCTCCTACTCGTGGACGATTGCAGTCGCTACATGTGGCTGCAACTCCTGACGAGCAAGGACGAAGCGGCGGTGGCGATCAAGAAGTTCAAGACGCGCGCGGAGGCCGAGAGCGGCAAGAAGCTCCACGATCGAGGACCGATCGGGTGGTGAATTCACTTCGTGGAGTTTGCTACGCATCGCGTGGATCGTGGTGTGGGACAACATCACACCGCTACCGCACTCGCCACAAATGTAATGGCGTGGTGGAGCGACGGAACCAAACAGTGGTCGGCATGGCCCGATCCATGATGAAGGCCAAAGGGATGCCGGTAAAGTTCTGGGGAGAGGCGGTGACCACGGCGGTGTTCATCCTCAACCGCGCTCCAACCAAGGCCCTAACGGGCAAGACACCGCTCAAGCTTGGTACGGAGCAAGCCGAACGTGTCATTCCTCCGGACATTCGGTTGCATCGGCCACGCGGGAAGACAAGCCGAACCTCACCAAGCCGGAGGATGTGAGCACACCCATGGTGTTCCTGGGCTACGCGGAGGGTACCAAGGCGTACCGGCTCTATGACCCACGCGGAGACAAGGTGACTGTCTCGCGCGACGTTGTGTTCAACGAGGAGGCGGCTTGGGACTAGAACAGTCCGAGCACGGGGGAAGCAGGAGGCTTCCCCAACACCTTCGTCGTCGAGCACTTGGTCATCCACGGTGGTGGAGACGCATGAACAGGTGCCACAAGACTCGGAGGAGCGCCGAGCACTCCAATGGTGAGAGTCGAGCACAGGGGCAAAGGCCGAAGCACTTCAGGAGGGATGCCGAGCACTCCGGGAGGAGTGTCGAGCACTTTTGGAGGGATGCCGAGCACGCCAGGAGTGGAGCCAGGAGGTTCTGCAGTGGTGGCGACCACTTCAGGACGGGTACCGAGCACTCCCGTGCCAGAGCCAAGACATCTTACTGTGGTCCCGACCACTCCAAGATTGAGGCTAGGCACTCCTACAAAGGTGGCCAAACACCGTAGGAGTTATGAACCAGCGTACCCGTAAGCGATGTCGAGCACTTCGGGTGCTATGCAGGGCACTCCAGCGGAAGAAGGAACTCCATCACCCCCGATCGAGTTCATCTCACCTCCAAGTGACATCACTGAGTTCGTGGACGCCTACCACGAAGGTGAGGAGTTGAGGTTTCGCAGTCGGACGACATCGTCGGCGCAGACAGTCCCTCGAGTTTGGCGGGTAGGTCGCTCAACGACGCAGAGCCGCTACTCGCCGCGCGGAGGAACCACCCACGCTCGCGCTAAGCCGAGCGCGATGGAAACGGCGCGACGGGCGTCTTGCCGAGGAGATGAAGGCGATCGAGGAAAACGAGACTTGGCGACTCATCGATCCACCTCTAGGATGCCGTCCGATCACTGAAGTGGGTGTACAAAGTCAAAAGGGACGAGCTCGGCGCCATTGTCAAGCACAAAGCGCCTCGTCGCCCGAGGCTTTGTCCAAAGACGAGGGCATCGACTTTGAGGAGGTCTTTGCGCCAAGAAGGCGCGATGGAGTCGCCCGCTTGCTACTTGCTTTGGCGGCAAAGAAGGGACCGCGCGGCCCATCACTTGGACGTTAAATTGGCCTTCCTCAACGGTGAGTGGCGAAGCAGTCTTCGTCGAGGCAACCTCTGTGGTTCATTGTCAAGGGAGAGGAGCATAGGGTGCTCCATCGCGCATAAAAGTGCTTTCATCATCGCTACGGCAAGCCCCTCGAGCATGGAACGCCAAGCTTGACACCATCGTCGGGCGAGCTTGGAGTTTCAGAGGTGCGAATCGAAGAGCACGCGCTCTACACGCCGACGACGGGGAAGGAAGAACTCGTGGTCGGCGGTATGTGGATGACTTAATAAATCACCGGTGCGCGCGACGGAGGATATCAACGACTTCAAGCGAGAGATGGCAGCTCGTTTCGAATGAGCGATCTCGGTGTTTCTCTCCTACTACCTCGGCATCGAGGTGAGACAGGGAAGGAGAAACTCACGCCGAGCAAAGCGCGATGCCTCCAAGTCGTTGGAGAGGAGCGGCATGGTGGAGTGCAAGCTACGCGTGACTGGCGATGGAGGAGCGGTGAAGTTAACGAAGGCCAAGATCTGCGGCGAAGGTGGATGCAACACTCTCACCGAAGCATCGTCTTGCGGTCTGCGCTATCTAGTTCACACGAGGCCGGACATTGCGTTCGCCATGGGCTACGCGGTTGCTTCATGGAGGATCACTGGGCTGCGGTGAAGCGGCTACTATGCTACGTCAAGGGGACGGTGAATCATGGAACCATCTTCCCAAAGACCGGCGGGAGTAGGCTGCAGCTCACGGTATTCAGCGATGCAGACATGGCGGGGGACATCGACGGACGACGGAGCACCTCTAGCGTGCTCGTCTTCCTCGGGTCAGCCCAAATTTCATGGTTGTCGCTGAAACAGAAGATGGTGGCGCTATCTACGTGCGAGGCAGAGTACGTAGCGGCGGCCACAGCGGTGTGCCAAGTTGTGTGGCTATGCCGGCTGCTGGGCGAGCTGGCCGGCGTGGAAGCTCACCCACCAGCACTGATGGTGGACAACCAGCCTGTCATCGCCCTCGTGAAGAATCCGGTTCTGCACGACCGGAGTAAACACATCGACGTAAAGTTCCACTTCCTCAGGGACTGTGTTGATGGAGGGCAAATCGTCATCGAGTTCGTCGAAACTGCTCGGCAGCTCGCGGACGTCCTCACCAAACCGCTCGGACGACTTCGACTCACGGAGCTGAAGGAGATGATCGGCATGGAGGGGGTACAAGGGTTAGCAGTAGGATTAGGGGAAGATTGTTAGCTAATCTACTGCCACCTTGTGTGAACATAGCAGAGGAAGGCGGCGCCGACTTAGCCGCCTGCTGTGTGTGAACACAGCAAGGGAAGGCGGCGCCGACTTTACCCCCTGCTATGATACAGTAGCCGCTGCAGGTGTAGGCGTCGCACGGCTCACCTGCAGCACTGTAGGAACAGGCAGTGGCCGGCGCAGAGTCAGCTTTGTCAGGTTATCTAGTTACTGTGCCAGCATGGGCGCTGCACATGGACTAAATAGTTAGAGTTGTATAAATAGACATGTACGGCAACTCAGTAAAGAGAGCTTAGATTTGCCATCACACAGGCAGAGATTCGGCCAACGCTGTTGTCTTGTATTGTGCGTGCTTGCTCTGTTCTCCCTTCTTCTTCCAACTCCGTCCGTAGTGTGTGGGTACGAACAACGCCGGTACGTGGTCTGCACGTCTAGTGGGTGCTCGGCAACACTAGCGCGTGCTCGGCGAGACCGTCAAGTGCTCCACTCGCCTGAGCCGGTGTACGGCAAGATCGGCTAGAGTGGTTCACTGACGTGAGCCGGTGATCCTGTGAGACCAAGGGTGATCTGGAGGCCATCTCGGTGGTCTGGAGGCTATCTGTAGTGGTCTGGAGGCCATCTCGGTGGTCGGGAGGCTAACTATGGGCCAATAGACCCTCTGGTTGCTTGAACCTTATAAGCCAGAACCATTCCTGATTCGTGATCCCATGAAGCTCTTTATCCCTAATTAAACAGAATGCCCTAAGTACTGTTTCTTTGAGTGCTTAATTGTCTGCTCGTAGTTTTCTCTAAATTTTACGATACCTTATCTCTTGTGATTATATTTTCTTACAGCTGCTGAATGTTTAACGTTGATTATATTATCTTTCTCCTTGCAGCTACTGAATGGGTGAAGGGAAAACCAATGGATGAAGTTTTGACAATCAAGAACACGTCAGTTATCCATCATCTTCCAATATTTTCGGCTTGCTTAATATTATCCACTTTATTAATCATCTGAACATGCTAATATTGTATTTTGTAAAAAATGAATTGTTGTCTATGTTACATCTTTAACAAACTCACACACTTGCTGCTTTTGGGTTCCTTTACAACGTCGTTCTGCTCTCTATAATGTGAATACCATTGTGAGAATGTTGGGGTTTGTATCTGAGAAGACTTCACTACTGGTTGTTATATGCGCATCTCTCTCTGAGCATGGCCATTTGATACTTCGATTATATTTTATTATTATTATATAACAGTACATGGTTAAGCATGATTAGTATTTTTAATGTCACATTCGGTTTTGATGAGTTCTGTAAGTTGCTATAAAATGATCTTTCTTCAGCTGTCAGGGGTAATCATTATAATTTTCTCCCCTTGTTCTTTGGAGTGGTGGCAGATTATCTGATGTGTTAGTTCTTTACTTTTTATTCAGCAACATTATTTGCTCCTCTGATGTTTGACTTTCTGTAATTGGAAATGGTACATGTGCTTATTATACTATAGAGGAAAGATGTGACTTGTAGTCTTATTCTCTGATTTCCTTTTTAAAAAAGATGAATCCCTTCATTTACTTTAGCACCCTCGCAGCTGTTAGGGCTTGTTTGTTGAGATTTTTCTGGGCACTGTCAGAATCCCTTAGCAAACACCACTGTAACTGAGTTTGTTACTCTTTTTTCCAGTGAGATTGCGAAGCACTTGTCCCTTCCACCAGTAAAGCTCCATTGCAGCATGCTTGCCGAGGATGCGATTAAAGCTGCTGTGAAAGACTACGAAGCCAAGAAGGCGAAGCTGGGGCAAAAGGGTGAAGACAGTCCTTCAGAGAAGGCTGCTGAAGCATGAAAGTTTCTGCCGTGAAGTATATTGAGCTGATATGTTTCTCAGTCCATGACTCCCCACCGCTTATTGCCAAAGATAAAGGCTTCTGTTTGTGAGGCGAGGGATTGTGTGTAATGTTCACAAACTCTGGTAGTGCGGCTTGTGCCTTAACTCTTTTAAGGATGGTGACGACCAATTTCAAATAAATTTGCTGCTATCTTATAGAATTAGAAGAAAGTACTCCTATGTGCGCATGTACAAGAGCTTTTCTGGAAGTGTTATCTGTCAACATACGTAATGGAATTACGGTCGCCGTTGCACAAAGGCTATTTTTAAAGAGTTTTGCTCCGGTGGTCCTCTCCAAAAACTTTGCACGAATCTTAAAGCAGCTAATATTTAATTAAAATTTTTATTTTTGTCATGGGTCTGGATTAGGGCCGGACCTACCAGGTTCAAACAAGCCCATTGCTAGGAACCCTAGTCCACGTCATTCGCTTGTGAGTCCGATCGGTTTTCTGCCCGAGCCGCACGTCGTTTGAACGGAGAAAACATCCAACACCGAGACGGCGGACGGCGGCGGCACCAGTCATCTGCGACCAAGGGCACCTTCGCCATCGCCGCGCCGCATCCCCGCCCGTGGCAGCAGCCTAGCAGAGCAGTGAAGGCCGGACTGTAGAAGCTGACATGCGACAAGGCTAATACAGCAGCCCAATAGGGGAGGAGTGGACGGAGAGATTCAGCACAGGGCCAGATTTCAGGAGATGGCCGGGACAAAACGCGAAAGGGATTATGTTCCTTTGTTAATTCAAACCTGAAATAAATTTTCTTTTTTTTGCTAATCAAAACACAAAGGGAATTCAATTGAAGAGGGAGAGGATGAAATTAAGCACACGCACACATGGCAGACAGAGCGTAGGGATTGGTTGCAAAGAGGAGATAAGGGCAGCAAGGAAGGGAAGGGGAACTTTGCACGTAGCTGAGCTCGGGCTGCTGCCTGCTGGATGAATCAATTCAAGTCCTAGGAACGCCGAGCAGACTGGCCTTGGTCGCTGGGTGGTGCCGTCGTCGCCCGTCGGTGCCCGTCATGTCCCGTCTGCCGCCACAGCTGCCACTGTCCGTCCCGTCTGCCACCACCATCACCGCCCGCCGCAGCGCCAGGGCAGGGATGCGGCGCGGGGAAGGCACCTCGGTTTGATATGCGTTGATGTCAGGGCGGGGATGCCGCCGTTCCTACAAGAAATGACCGGAGTCTATATGCTTTGATCGGAGATCGTGAGAAAGGACTGGTGGGAAGGGGATGGGCTTCGTTCGGGCCGTCTTCAATCCAAACCCATAACAAAATTAATTATAATAATTAAATTAATCAGTAGGATGCTTTAAGATCCGTGCAGATTTTTTGAAGAGGACCACCGGAGCAAAACTCATTTTTAAATAGGGGGCACTAGACTTCTGTTGACAGATTTGGTACCTTCAAATCTGTCAAATTTTTTACTAATAGAACATTGACAGGTGTGTCTTGAAACAATGACAGATTAGAAACAAAAACTATCAGATTTGAATAGCACATGTTAACATTAAATAAGATCCAAAACCCGTTAATCTTGAAAACCAAAAGAAAATCCAATAATCAGACAACCCAATAATCAGTCAACTGCAAAGGTCTCTGTTATGTTTCAAGCACCCATAAGTGTACTTCTTAGCACACAAAAGAGTTAACACCCTTGAATACCGTATCCTCTTCCCCATTATTTTTCCATAAACATACAATGGGAGTGGGGCTTCCACAACTTTCTGAACTACTAGAACATGCACCACGATCCCTACATACAGATTCGGACATTGACACCAAGCATTGTACTGGTTGTTAATAGTAAATTTTACTCTTATCAGGCGAGCTCTGTCTGAGCACCTCTAACACTGACAACTGCATGTGGTACCTAGCCCAGTTGCCAAGATAAGCAGGCACAGTCCACAAAATCAGCGCTATATTAGCTGACCAGCTAAGGCAGTGTACAGAGAGAGTACCGAGCACAACTTAAGGCAGCACTAGCATAGTAACTGCTCTGTTTGCTTAACCATATATATACGAAATGTGTCCTAGCCTCCATGGTAGCTTTGCTGAATCTTGGCTGGGAGAAGCTGGAAGATACCTAAAGTCTGCATTTCACCAAAGAAAGGAAGTCAGCGGGCATAAATCAAATCAGAAAAAATAGGCTACTGTGCCGGGGTGAGCAAACCTTTAGCAACTCTACTCAGGTTGCCGCTGAGTACTGGATTCTGATTTCTGAGCGACTCTTGTTTGGCAGTGGAAGAAGCACAAGCTGGACTTTCAAGTCTGCAAGTTCCTGCAAAATCTGTATGTGTGAGTGGTTCATGGGTTTGGATAATTGAATGAAACTGGTGTTTTGGAGTGCCATTGCTGACTACCTATAGAACTCGGCAAAATAGGTCTTTATCACTGATGTATGCCAGCAATCTCACCACCTGGAAACCAGTCACAATCAAATGCAAAGCTCCGGCACATAATTTATCAATAACAGCAAAAGAAAAAAAACAGATGTACCTTCTCAAAGGACATCTTCAATGGCTTCATAACTGAGCTAAAGAAACACTGCGCCTTCTTATTGCTAGAAGAAATCTTCTGCTTGCTTGACCAAGGTTGTACCCTCACTTGTGACATGCTGCGGACAAAAATAATTCAATCAGAAATGCACATCATGGTTCAAAGGAATAAAATGAGTTAAAAGAAAAAAGAGGTAACCTGCAAAAAAAAACACCCACACACACAAACACCCACACAGAAACACAGAGAGACACACACAAAAACACCAGCAACCCAGAAAACACACACAGAGACACATAAAGAGAGAGAAAGAGAGAGAGAGACACAAAAAAACTCAGCTCAACTACACCTTCTAATGCTCCCTCACAGATGGTAAAAGCAAAAAACTGTCAGATTTTTATAACACGGGTCTCCAAAACCCGTTAACAAAGCAGCAGAGTAGCAGCGCCTGAACACACCATCATATCAAAGCTAGTAGCGGCACCTGCACGAAACCAATTAACAAAGCAGCAGCGCCTGAACACACAAACGCGCCGCGCGCGCACACACACCATTTAACAATTAACAAAGCAACACACACACATGCACGCACGCACACACAAACAAAGCTAGTAGCAGCGCCTGTACAAAACCAATTAACAAAAACGCAGCGCCTAAACACAAACGCACGCACGCACACGCACAGCACACACAAACACACACACACACACATCAAAGATAACACACCCATCAAGTGCAGAGAAACTATCAACAAATCTGTCAACATCCAAATGACAGAAAAAACCTAAAAATACAACCTGCAAATAATCTAAGAAGATAATCCAAAAAAATACAAAAAAAAATCAACTGACCAAAGTCAAACAAAACCAAAGGTAATTAGATGACAAAAAAACAGCATTACAAAAATGAAATCAACTAAATTCACCATTACAACACATCAAAACCCGTTCCAGAAATGAAAGCAAATAAATTGACTAAAATCAAACAAAACCAAAGGTAATTAGATGACAAAAAAAATCAGCATTACAAAAATCAAATCAACTAAATTCACCATTAAAACACATCAAAACCTGAACAAGTCAAATATAAGTCAAAACATCAATGGACATCCCAGAAAAAACCTAAAGAACATACCTGAAAAAAAGGAAGATAGTAAAAAGATCTGCACATCAATTGGCTTTGGGTACCTCAAACAGCAACAACAAAAAAAAAGCCTAAAAAGAAGCCTACAAAAAAAACAAAAAACCAAACAACACATCAACACCAAAAAATACAAAGAAAAGCAGATCTACAAATAAGAGATATCACCCAAAAAACAGCAGAGAGTTATATCAACTCAAAACAGCACACATAAAAATCAGAAACATCAAAAAAGCTCAATAAACATACCTGCCACACCAAAAAAAGTGAAGCCTCACATAAGGCCCACAAAAGGAAAGAAAATAAACCTAAAAACACATCATCAACAAAAAAAAATTGCATGTAAAGAAAAATCCAGAAAATCAGATCTGCACATCACATTTTTTAATTACTTCCTTCAGTCCAGTAGTATATAAGGCATCTTTTAACATTGCACAGTTTCCTAAATTACACTTTGACTTATCCATTTATTTTATAGTATATTGTTTATGATTAAACTTATGACTATTGGATTGTACATTTGACTACAAATCTAACAGTATCAAGTTTTATTGCAACAGTTAAAAGTTCTTTGCAGAATTATTGGTTAAAGACTATAAAATTTGACTGTTGACGCACGCTAAATGCTATATAAACTGGACCAGAGGAAGTATTTGCATTCGAGGATGACATGGGCATAGTGAAGTATTTATATGAGACTAATTCATCCCTTTCCAAAGAGGGTGGAAAAATCATATCTTCCTTTTACAAATATGATCACCGTCTGCCCCTGTACACAATGAGAAAAACAGGCAAAACACTTAATTTTTTTACTTCGAACACTCTTCTCTAAGATCAGAGGCATGGTAAAAAAAAGCAGACACTCAAGATAAACGGAATAAATTAAAGACAACTCAAGCGTATAAAAATTCTATAAATTAGACAGAGAAGTGTTTCAGATACTACTGGAACCTACAGCACGTCCCTATCGTTTGCAGTAGCTGGGTGAATTAATCAAGCGAGAAATGTGTTTAGATATTGCAAATATGATCACCTTTTGCCCCTGGACGCAATAGGAAAAAAAAGCAAAACACTTAATTTTCTTTGCTTCTAACATAACATTGTGCTGTAAGATCAGAGGCATGGTAAGAAATCAGAGATGCCAGATTCAAATCGAAGTGATTTTGTAAATAATTTCAGTTATAAGCGGACAGCTATGACAACAGCCAAAACAGGCAATTGAAGACATCTAGAAAAAAGTGACTGACATAACTTACTACAACATGAAGACATCTAGAAAAAAGTGACTGACATAACTTACTACAACATAACTCACTACATG